ATTCAATCGATACAGCGTTGCCGTAGGGCTACGAAATTGAAGACTTTCCGGAACATATCAAATACTAGCCCCTCTAAAAATAAAAAAAAATGCAAAATCGCTCTTGGTACCTAGCATTTAAAGCACAGCTGGGTAGCAAGGAATAAGCGGATTCAGGGTGCAGAGTAGTGAAAAGTCACAATAACGTGTACTACGTTCGTAGGTCACCACCCTTACGAGTAAATCAAATCTCTCATCTCTACGAACTCGGGGAAATGTCAATCTGGGGAGCGATTCCTCTCAATAGTGATCTGCTAAAATTTAATTGACCTTAGGGGAGCAGGGTCTCGACATTACTAGACCTCTTGGCACGATTTTGGCAGTGTGTAATGGAGGAATCCGTTTGAGTTCAAAAGTGCCTCTTATTTAGGTTTTGTTTACCCTTTGCTGCCTCACGTTTCGAATTTAGGCAAAATTTTGATTGGACGTCTTCGTCAGGTGCTACTTCTGCCCACAAACTTGTACACGCTGGTAGTTTGACCCTGTGAACACGAACATCGCGAAAGTCTGGTGCGAAAACTCCTGGAAAGCACTCGACGCCCCCACATATCCTCTTAGGGGACCTGTAGCGCCAGCATCAAGCGTTTTCGTGCTCGAGGTACAGTCCAAACAACCAGCCTCATCGCCCAATACTCGGCCAGCGTGATATTTGTCGCTTTCAAAGGAACAAACCAGTAAGAAAGAGGATTCCAGCTTATTTTCCTCCCCGGTATGGTATTTGAGTGAACTGACACTTACTCTGTACGCTCGTCCTCCGCTGGTCAGTCCAACAACGATCTTCTCAGCTGGGACTCCGCTGCTTATCATTCTGAAAATATCACATCACAATTATTATAATAACTTTATCCTCTCACGGTCAGTGCTCATCGGGCACGGCTGCTTACTTATCTACTGATCCACTGATCGTATCTTCTAATGGAATCGAATCGGACGGCATGAGCGGATCGAGATGACTCACAGCGTAGGGGTCCTCTGACGACTGTAAATTTGGCTTATCTTATCTTATCCAATACATTTCAATGAGGGGGGAAAAAGCTTTTCCTAGGGGCATTTTTGAAAAGAAGTCGACCTACCGGTAGCTCCTCCATATCGAGGTAGATGTGCTCAACATAGTCGGCGAACTCATGAATTCTGTTGATGACTCTCCACATCCATCGAGGTGAGATTGACAACGTCGTCAATGAGCTGACTGCCGAGGGAGTGATTGACAGGGCCTAATAAAGGCAATCAAGCTGGCAAGGACACTATGCAGAAGGAGAACAACCTACGGCAAGGAAGTGCTGAGAGCTGGTTGACTCCAGTGATGGTCCCTCCATACGAACGAACACACCATCGAAATGTCTGCAAGTTCAAAACTGAAATATCGATTGGAGCTGATCCATATCCAACAGTATTTTCATCAATACAATAAAATTTTGGAATCGTGATTCAGTTCTCTCTTCGTTAATGTGTCCTTTCTGTTATTTGTTGAATACTAAGAAAACCGGTCTTTCTCGTATTATCACTTCCAATGAGGATGAGCCATGGCTCCTTTGGTAAGAGATCAGAAAATACTCGCTATAATCCGTAAGAATTTCATCAAAGAACAGTCATCCCACTCCTGTAGATCGAATCTCTTCAGTGCCTTATTACCACTTGTGCTGTTCTGTCACCTCGACTCTGAATGTAGACGGCGCTGAATCGCGGATTAGCGGGCTTGATAACCTTCTTTCTCAGTCGTCCAGCCCCAACATTTTTTGTAAATTTATCTGGGGATGAGACCGTCGTTTCCTCGACTCCCACAAAACAAGCAGTTTTTCCTAGCCAGTTGACCCGACCCGCTGTAGCACTTCCACGCCACTCAACTAGGTCCTGGCATGAATACCGCGTACGCGACGCTGCTCTTGCAGTGTGTCCCCATGAATCCTTTGGAAGAGGACTTCTTGAATTCCAAATTCTATATCCCTCTTTTGCCAACTAATACAACACACTCACAACCTATTTTGTATCTGTTCTGTAGAAAAGATAGTACTGGCAAGCCCGAAAAATTCGTCCTATTGAGCACATCCTGTGGCGGTTCTCAGCGTGCCTAGCGATTACAAAAGGATTTTTGCAATTCATAATAGAATGAAGAAACCATCAGAACCCCCACTCATAAGAAGAAACATGAAGGTGGTAACCCACCTCTTTTTGGCCGAGTTGGTAATGAGCTCCGCTGTGCGCCGTGCATGTCGAACGTCATGAAAAACGTCGTTTGCCGTCATTTGCACTCCCAATAGAAGTGTGGCATGTGGATGTGTATTCCTTAGTCTAAATAGTCATAAAATAATCGCGTCCAGATTGCAGTTGAAGCATTACTCTTGTCTTCCAATTGCCAGTAACCTACCCCAAAAATTTCCGCAGATTCCCGGGGCTTACTATTTCCAAGTTGTCACGTGAAGTGACAGAACGTAGCGACATGTCGGATCGTATACGAGAAAAGCCATAGACGAAATGGGTGCAAGACAAATTACGGAACGAGGAGATGTCGAACGTTTCCTTCTGCAATAAAGTGGTAGTACTTTCACGGCATTCAGTGCTTTCTTCAGAAATTCCCTATTTACCCTCGATGGAACGACGAAGCAGTAGAAAGCGCACGATGTTGGTTTGACATCTTCGATTAAAAATAGAAAAGTTAAAAATCCGAGAACGAGAACCTTCCGTAAGATCATCCTGAAAGAGATGTAAGTAGATTAGGAAATTCTCAATGAAAAGCTCAAGAGATTACAGTGCAAGCGTCGAGACCAACTGCAACTGAGCCTTTATCTCTTGACGTTCTGATGTTTTCCTCGCAGCTTGGGAATGTATTGAAATTCTCGATTCTCAATGAAAACACAGCAAATTCTTTGAAGATGTCGAGATCGAAGTTTCAATGAGATACCGTATCCATTGAAATTCATGTCATTTGATGACTCAAGCACTGCTTTGAAGAACAAAAAGGAGACGGGATCGCTTACAATTAGTCTTGAAGAAATTCTCAGGAATGCGCCACGTACTTCGTTTCTCAACGGAAATGATCTCAGTGATGCCGACGACATATTCACCAGGATTTAATTATGCATGCTTCTGAATCACAATATCTGTTTAGGCATTGAAGCAATAACTGGTTTTGGTACTGAAAGCGTAGGGCATTACGAAGTTTAGGTTAGCAGTCGAGTTTTGCTGCGCACTTCTGAGAAGACCTAAGAAATGAAGAAGAACAGGACAAAGATTCGATCCCTGAATGCCAAATTTTCGCATTTCTGCTAATGGCTCTCACCTGCTCCGATTTCTACTAGCCCCATCTTGGCCGTCTTGTCTGCAATCATCATCATTCCATGCTTCATTAATCTTGCAAGGCGATCTCCTACCACGTTCCCCGCTATTAGGCACCTTTCTCGCATGAGAAGCACGCGAGTCTAATTCTAAATTCTAATCCTAATTAGGAATGTCTCAGGGCATGTAGGCCATTGTCGCAAAGGATAGTCGCGTGCTGCAGAGGTTGCTGAGAGAACCACAAAAAAGTAGTTCGTTTTTGCTGCGCTCTCCTGGGAATGCCAATAAGGGACAAACAATCAAATAGTTCGAACGAACTCAGCGATAGAAAGCTCTTCTAACATTTAGACATCCACAGGTTTGGATGTTTTGGGAATATTTTCATTCAAACAAGCAGTCCCGACTATTATGAACACAAGGGAATAAAAATTACAGGAATGCGAAATCTGTAGGGGATTCGAACCATTTGAAGGCAGTTGGCACGATGATTTGGTGTTCGGCCTAAATGCTTAGTGGGGAAATGGCGAAAGAACGGAGTGAAACGGTCAAAATCCTGCGAAGAAAGAGCCTCCGTTCTCAGTGACTTGAAAATCGATTTCGGACGAGTTTATCTTGCCAATAACCGCTACCGAATGTGTACTCATATATCCATGCAGCATCACGGCTTCATACCAATCCCTTCGCTTCATAATTTGCTTAGCAAATGAAGCAGAGCGTCAGGAACGGTCGTCCATTTGTGGGCGGGCGGGCGTGGTGGGCGTTCGGGTCGGTATGTTGTGGCTTGATAGGGCCCTTATAAGGGCACCTCCCTTGGAAAAGGCATTATGCAGCGCCTGCTCAGGGTCGCGGAATTCCGTCCTGCCAGGCGTATTAATCCTACTCGTCTTGGGGATTTATCGTGCCAACTGCCTTTAATGTTCCCCTTTGTTTGACCATCTAAGATCATGGCTGTACAGGATCGACGGAAGCCCTTGGTTTCCTGTCTGGGTTTGTTCTTAAAAACCGAATACAAATGCTGAATACTTGCCACCGTTCCCAATAGAAAGTCATGATTCCTAGCAACTCCTTGAATTCCTTCGGTAGAAAGGCGCAAAGGCGCTGGAAGGCATTCCTCTTCGCTGTCATCTATGGATTCCCTCGTGTAGGAAACGCGACTATTTTATTACAGTCATGGGATATGGGTGTAAATATTCAGTTTTATTTGTGCTATTCACGTTGAAAGAATAGGGCAATATGAACACCTGTAGAAACGTATGTGACTTCAACATGAAGCACGTGTTCAGCACCAATGTGTTCAATGGTTTTTTTGGTTTTGTCATGGCTTGAAAGTGATATATGAGGCAGAGTTTCTGAGATTTTTATGGGTGCCGCAATACCAGGTAACGTTTTTAGAATGCTTCTTCTGAATCCAGTGGTAGTGAAAATCGGCGCAGTTCGGCTTGAGGGGAGTACTCTGCTCAGGCCTACTAAACTACAGTGTGACCTGCTAAGTAACAGAAACTAATATCAGAGACTAGCCAGCTACCTGGTGGTAATCACCCTATGCCCAACAGCACCTGAAAATCTAGTACTTCAAAAACACTTTTATTGGTTTACTTCACAATATGCTTCAGTTCTTTGAATGATACAGTTTCTACTTCCCTTTCTCCGTTTTTGCGTGCTCACTTGGGACCGCGCGATGTCGTTTCCTGTGTACATCCTCCAAGCATTTACTTCCCTTACGACCTGAGAGTCGGATGGAGGAGTACAGAATCTATTAGCACACTTAATGCTAGATTTCTCGCAGGGATAATTAGCGTCCGGGATACTCAATGATGACCAGAGGGGTTCCGAGACGTCAATAACTATGTCCCCTCAAGACATTCCTCATAGAGGGCCTCCTACTGTGAGAAAAAATCCAGCTGAACTAGTCAATAGGTAGG